CGACTGACCTCGCAGCGGCAGTGCGATGTCTCGCCGGCGGAAGTGCTGTACTCCGTTCTTCCCTGCGGGTCTCGGTAAGTATTTTATTGCCCGATGTACAGTACACTGTTCAGTACTGTACATCTGCAACACTATACAGTACTGTACTAATACAGTACTGTATAGAGTTCCTCACTTAACAACCAATTCGTTTAACGACCCGGTCGTAGGAACGGAACTCGGTCGTTAAGTGAGGAATACCTGTATATATATTATATTTTTTATTTGGAGAAAATACAGTGCAATTCCTTCATAGGTAGGCTCAATGGGTTGAATGTTCCACCAGCTTATCACACTGCAGTTCAAAGGTCTGTTTGGTGCCATCTCTCCCATCTCAGCCATTCAGCTACATTGTCTGTAATTTAATGGAAGAGTTCAGCAGGAATAGTGAGATGTCTTGTAATGCCTGTCAAGTAAATGGGCATGAAATTTATGCACAGACATATTGCCACTGGAGACTATAAAATCTAAAGTCACTGTGTCCTAAAGGGGATATTAAAGCACACAGCATCGTTTTGTCAAGCTGCATACCAAAATTGAGAAAAGTTAAGTGGTAAAAAAAGATTATTCTGCATTATGTTACTAGCAGTATACTTTGTTTTATTTATTTTTTTGCTATGGTAGACAAGTAAAATGCTCTTCTGCCTCCCAGGTGTTTAAAGGAGTTGTAAAGTCCCAGCATATCCTATCCTGCTTTAACATCAGCATTGTAATAGGATCACCTCCTATAGTTTTTGATAATGAAATCAATGCTTGTTTAAAAAAAATCCCTTTTATGTAGTGAGAGCTGCCTTCTGTCTGCCCATCACTTCCATCAACTTCCTGGATTCCCAGGGTGCTTTGCATCTCTTTCCCTGCTGCTTGATGTGATGCAGTCTTAATTTCTCAAGACTACACATCCCATCATGCATTGCTTCCAGCAAACAATGAAGGGGTTACATTGTGGGCAGTTTGGATGTCGAGTTGTAGTTCAGAAGGCAGGCTTAGAGTATTGACACAAGGAAGTGCATATTATCAGGGCTGAGTGAAATTGTGTCAGTGCATTGAGAGGAAGTACAGCCTATGGGCATCTTCAATAAGTAAGTTTATAAACTTCTAGATTGATATACAAGCTCCTCTTTCAATTTCGGAGTGAAAGGAAACTGTTTGTCCCCATAGAAAGACTACGGGCAGGCTTCATCGCAATAACAAACAATGCTTCTAGATCTTTAACCCTTTATTAAGACAGTGTTCAAATCAAGTTTACAACTGATGATATCTACCAGCACACTATGGGCAGGGTTATTTAAGTTATTTAACATTAACCTGCCAAGCCCTGCTTGCATTCCAGGAGGAGTTTCAATACAGAGGTGAGCCTTTATTTCAGAAAAGAACATGTAATATGCAAGCAGCAACGGTAATTTTTTTTATGTGAGAACATGTAATAGATATAAACTAGGTATTGTCCCAATTTGGCTGCAAAAGTGGAAATACACTTTAGACCCCATTCACACTGAGCGATATGTAGCGCGATTTCAGCTCCAAAATCGCTCAAATATCAGCTCAATGTAGCTTGTCCAATGCATTTCAATGCAGCTGTTTCCATCTCACAGCTCAATGTCGCCTGTAGCTTGTAGCTCAAGCTTGTAGTTCGAACATGAACTATCGGCGGATTTTGTGCGATTTGTCCCAATAGACTTTAATGGTGTAGCTCAATGTTGCGCGACATTGCGACGCTACAGAAGTGTCACTTTTGCACAGAAATATAAGAACGAAGGAATGATGTCCCATCAAGATTGATTGGTTACAGCCCAATGAAGCAGCTACTAAGTACATGCCAAAAGTCGCCCTACGTAGCGCGACAAAATGTGCAATGTAGCTCAATGTCGCTCAGCTCAAAATCGCACTGAAAAAAAAGCGCTTTTTTGGATGTAGCTCAGTGGTCATGTTCAAGCGACAAGCTTGAGCTACAAGCTACAGGCGACATTGAGCTGTGAGATGTGAACAGCTCCATTGAAATGCATTGGATAAGCTACACTGAGCTGATGTTTGAGCGATTTGTGAGCTGAAATCGTGCTACAAATCTCTGTGTGATTGGGGTCTTAAGGCTGGTTGGAAGCATTGCTTTCCTGTCAGGCTCTGTTTGGGAATGTTAATTGAAGTGACAGCCAGCACTTCTGTTAGGCTCAACACAAACTGCAGCTGAAGGGTGCTTTAAAAGCTTCATGAAAGCTGTTTTGATTTTGATTACATATTTGCAAATGCTTTCTGAAAGCTTGCAATCTCCCCGTCTAGCATTTACAAGTTGCAGCTTGCATGAAGGCTACATGAAAGGAAACCTGTCATGAGAGAAATGTATGGGCGGCCAGTACTGACCACCTTCTTGGTAGTTTGTGAATAAAACAGGAAGTTAGAAGCACATTGTAACAGATCAGGTAGTGTTCTGTATATTTAGCATTTGTAAAGATCAGTAGATAGGGATTGCTACTTACTGTCACCTCTGCTCTAACATAAGTACCCTAAACTTCTTCAACATAAGATTGCTACCAGTACTCCAGGGTTTGTTCAATTCAGTAAGCTTGGAGTGTACGTTTCTGCGGTAAAGGTAATTATTTTAGCACTTCTTTTACCCATTTTAGAGAACAGAATAGTCTGGGTTTGTGTTAAGGTGCTTTGAACCTATAGTTGAGGTGTGTGTATGTATATGCATGTCACAGCACACCATACATTTGCACAGGTACTCATTTACATTGACAAACACTCACACTCCTACAGAAAGCACAGTAGCTAATGCAAATAAAAGTATAAAACCTTGCATATTTGCACAAAAAATAAAACACATGATCACAGGAAAAAATTTTACTTACCTCTACCATAAAATTTAACTCCTGAATGGTGTGACTGAATTTGAAATGGTTCTTTATAGTTACATAGTATTTGAGATTGAATAAAGACATATGTCCATCAAGTCCAATCTATTGTGTGTATGTGTATGGTCCTACTGATGTGTGCGTATGTATAGGTTCCTGTGTGTTCTCATTCTTAAAAGTACTTGTACCCATGTATATTACGGTCCCTGAGGAAATCGTCCAATCACCTCTTGAATGATTACTCTTGAACAGTAATTGCTATAATTTGACATTTTAAAAATTCCAATATTTTACTAAAGCATTTGCAATGTTTTTGAATGATCTTTTTATTACGATAGATTTAATCATTTGTATTATTCTAGATCAATGCAGTCCGTGCCGTTGTTCCCAACAAGAGTAACAATGAGATCATCCTGGTACTACAGCACTTTGATAACTGTGTGGACAGGACAGTGCAGGCCTTCATGGAAGGTTAGTTCCTTAACATATTCCCATAAGTAGTGTTTAAACACCTGAATTGTGTCATTGCCAAGAAAACATAATGATCCCAGAAGACCACTGTGTTACTTTTATTTGTGTGAACAGTAGAATATTTAGTGCTCCTGAGATGCTGTGTTAATATGCAGTCTGAATTCGCTTTGAGCTTGTCTACAGCAGTGTGCTTTAATAACAGGGCTTCCATGTGTTAGGAAAATTCAAGCAAATTTACTAGCAACTAAACTGTGTGCAAATGCAATAGTGCAGGTAAAAACAAATGTCATCACATACAGTGAAAGGCAGCTTTGTGTGCTCCAAGAACTGTGTGTGGCTCACCATGAACTGATTTCAGACCTAAAAATTACTTTTATTTTTATTTATCTGACCATCGCTGAATAATACACAACAAATGTGTCCTCTCATAGTGCCCTCTCAAATCAGAGTAAAGTCAGGTATACACGCTTCTCTTTTCCTTCGTTCAACCTGCTGGCTGAAGGAAGAAAATGGAACAGATTCCTCCATCAACGCTTACGAGCTTTAATCAAGGAATCTCCCGCTGTTTACATTGCATTGGCTGCTCATTCTGTTGGGCTGAGAATTTTCCGACATGTTCTTTCAATCAGCTGATCGGAAAGGTGCCGACAGCGGTCCCCACACGAATTTCAGCAACTTTAACCAAAACTGGCTAAAATTCATAGCATGTATACCCAGCTTAAGTCTCACCACATTACCTTACTACTAGACCCCATGAGGTCCATGTCCCTACTAATTTCAGTGTGTTCCAAACATAATCACAGCGGCAGCAAAAGATTTATATTACTGTCAATTCTGTGCCCCCAGGTCTGTGACAGGACCATTAAGAAGCAGCAGTTGAATGATGAGGTCATCTCTGCTCTCCTCCTCCTTTCAGAATGCCTCCTTTTCCTAGAGCTTTACCTTCCTCTCCCAGATTGCTCTCCCAGAGTTCTACTGTACAGCACAATTACTAGAGGGTTAATCCAATGCAAATTTGAATACTTGGATTAGTTGTATTAAAATAACTTCTGCATCTGCGATTTTAGCATTGTTCCTCTTCTAGGTTTAATGACCTCGTGCAGCCCACTTCATGTAATGCAGGGCATTACCTTGGCTCCCTGTATTCATAATACAATGAGCTTTAATGCTATTTAAGATGGACAGATACCGTCTTGCTAACTGGTGGCAAGATAGCTGCTTGTTCTCATTCACGTCATTAGAGCACCAGGACCTAGTTTGATATTGACTGTGCGGAAAATGCGGTAACTCTTTCGGAGGGATCTGCCCACTGTCAGAGACAAAGTTTAAACAAAGCTCCATTTTGTGATGACAAGCACCTCTAAGTGCCAGAGGTGTTCGTTCTCACCCTCTAAGAGGTCAGGCACAGCCTGTTTTAAACCACCCTACTGATTTATGTTAAAAGTGCATTTTAATAAGTCCTTTTGATTGATTTTGGTAGTTCATTGCAGGTGGCAAGCATCCATTGCACCTAAAATTATTAAAGCTGACCTCCTTTTTTTTTTTTTGACTTTCAGTTATTTATAGGCCTCATTCACACAGCCGTCCAGGGCTGTACAATGTCCAGATCATTGTATTTCTGTTGCGGGTACTGCCATGTGTTTGCGATCAGCTGTGGCTGCTCAGTCTGTACAAATCAATGACACGCTGCCCAGCTGTTCGCATGTAATTGCACCTTCCGTTAGGTACAGGTAAGATGCACTAGGTGCAAACTGTCTGCGTACAGGACCACTTATCTGTCCCTGCAAGCAGTCGCTCCTTCCGCAAAAAAATGCAAACAGCTGCGGGAATGGTTAGCCCATCATTTGTCTTGTTCACAGCTGATCACCAAAAATATGCTGCTCTAGGTCGTGTGGTCATGTGCTTAAGGCCATAATGAAACCCAAATCTTCTGGCTCCTTTATGCGCCTGCTGCTTGCCCCAGCTGCTGAGCCAAGTAAGCTTGTATCATTTTTTGCAATTATGTAGCTTACAGGCTGACTTTTACTAATTGGAAAGGCGTTTCTATGCTATCTTGAGGTAAGCACTTTCTAAAAGAGCCGTTTTTGAGGGGGAAAAAATTAACACTCAGAATAAAACACTTGCTTGTCATGCGTATTATTTCTTCTTTTTATGCTGCAGATGTAATGCCAAAATGTTAATATCCCCCCACATGTGTCTTCTTATATCAGGTAATGCTGTTGAGGTCTTAAAAGAGTGGACTGTGCTGGGCAAGAAAAAGGTAAATGGAATCTTCTTGTATAGTTTTGAAATGAGAGCTGAATTTAGAATAAACAAAGCAAAATATATTTACAAAAACGAACCCAGACTAATGCTTAAGTATTTTCCGTGTTGGGTCTTCTAAACCTCTTAATAGCCCACAATCATATATATTAAACAGACTACATGTGGTTTTGGATAGTTTGTGGAAATTCTGCACCACCTTTCCAGAAATGTCTTTGTGAAGTCTGCTGTAATTCAGTAGTCCTATAAGGGATATTGTCTGAATTGTACCACAATCCTTTAAACAAATCACGATCTTTGCCATTGGTGTAAGCAGGCATGAAAAAAAAAGTGATCCGTTTTGATTTTTGTGGTAAAATATATATGTAGAAAATCCTATCTCGAAAGGAAATGGTTATATTTGCCGTCTTTAGACTCTTTGTTCACAGTTTCTGCCCAGTCCATATAAAAAATAAAGTTAAAATGTTTTGTCCGTTTGTTAGAACAAAAAGAAGAAGCCTAAGCCAAAAACAGAAGCTGCAGCTCCTGGCAATGTACCAGATGCTGGGAAAACAGCACCTGCGGAAGGGGAACAGAGTACTGCATCCTCTGATAAAGGCGGACTCAATGGTTACCATGTCAATGGCACTACTAATGACACCGAGTCGGTGGATTCCTTCAGCGAAGGCTTAGATACACTCTCTTTAGATGCTAGAGAATTGGAAGACTCTGAACCAACCACACCTGATGTATCTGACCACCCAGGTGAGAAAAACAAACTGTTCTTCTGTTTGTGTGCACTGCTAAGATTCTTGTAGAAAACTGGGAAAGCATAATATATAAAGCAAATGGCCTTTTTCCTTCTGAAAGAACTCTGTGGAGGCAGGCCCGCTGACGTGGTATCTAAATACGTTTTCCTGCTGTTTTCAGCAGGACTGGGTAAAGATTTTTATATGTCTGCTGAAAAATGGGGACCTTTTTAAGGTAGAGTTGGACAATTTTACAGGAAAAGGCCAAGCTATGGACAGTAAACGATTTACATATTCCTAACAAGGAGTAAATGAACTTTAAAACAAGTCCTCTCATCTCTTTAGTGGAAAGCACTGCTCAGCTCATCCAGCTCTGCCCTCTCAGAGCACCTGCTCTGTGTTTTACATTGGAGGGCTGGTAAAAAAAAAAAACTGCTGGGAAGGGGATCTGGGTGAGCGGAGTTGCTGAAATAACACAGCAAATGCACTGAAATCCTTCACATTGAACTGTGAGAACGAATTACTCCACAGTGCCTACAGCTACAGAGGTCAGTGAAGGCTTGTTTTAACCCCTTTTTCGATGCCACCGACGTACGGCATAGGTCCCTGGCAGCGCACCCCTTTAAACAGACTCCTGGCAGCATCTGTTTACATGTGTAAAGCCGGCTTTACACTGGAAGAAATTCTGACGCTTCCATGAGCCCGCGTAGTGCTCTTACTGATTTTACCCCCCCTCCGAGCTACAATAGCTTCTTTGGAGTGGAAAGGGTGACACTAGGGGTCACCACTAGTATGCTATCACATAGGGTGATAGCATACACCTAGATAGGTGGGCGGGGCATACACCCCGCCCACCTATCTAATAGCAGTTAAGTAAATGAAAAAAATTAAGTTAAAAAAAAAATTAAACGTGCGCGCGCATTACCAAAAACATGCATCGGGTGCGTCTATGTACGAAAACGACAATCGTGCTACACATGTTACATGTGGCTGTGTGCGCCAGAGTAAGAGCAATAATTCTAGGGCCAATATTCACAGTTGGCTCTAAACTGAAGACCTGTACGGGCTTTTAAAGCATCTCCTATGGACAATGTGGGATACTGTATTTTGTCACTGTTTCACAGACGCACACAATTGTTAACCTGGGCATGTTGGGTATTTATTTACGCGTAGTAACCTCATCTTTTTATATTTTACAAAAACATTGGTATTCTATTGTGTTTTGGTGCACTAAAACTAGCTTAAGTGTATTCATGACAAAATTTGGGTGTTTGATAAAGAGATGCGCTAATATCATGCATCAAAATAATTTGTAGCTGCCAAAATTTTTATTCTACAGGATCTGTGCTTTCAGAAAATATATGTTTTTGAGGTTTTAAGTTGTGTGCAAAAAACACAAAAAAGACCTTGGAAGCAAAAGGGTTAAAGTTCCATTACTGCTAACAATATGTAAATGCACGAGTGTCTATAGCCTGGTTACAGGTGCTGGCTGGCAAGTGTCTGGCTGTCCGTGTTCAGTAATGGTTTCAGTAGTCTGAGTAACTGCCTTGGGACTAGCATGCAGATCAGAAATTCTGACATCTCTGGCTGCACACTAGTTTTGGTCAGTGGCACAGACCGTGTTCAGAGGATCATTCCGTAAGTCCGCAAGTGTTTTCAAAAGTCAAGGCAGCCCTCCTATCTCTCTCGGCACAGATTTCTGTGCAGACTTTCTTATCGTGAAGACTGCATCCTGTAGTTAGGCATAGTGTTTTTTTAATTGTTGGAAATATTTTTCATTTATGATGTTTTTGCCTTACCACATTGCCAACAGTACATTGTATGGTAGGTATGATGGCACAATAGTTCTAAATTTTGTTTTTGTTATTTTCCTTCAATAGGATCCACGTTTCACAATGGCCGTCCAGAATTGGAGGTGAAGTTGACAGCTGCACACCATCCTAAAAATTCCCATCAGAAATCGACTCCATCTGACCACAGGCATTCTAACAAAGTCCGCTCTGGCAGTGTTTCAAGTTCTCAATCACTTTCTTCATCTATCACAGATGATTCCTACCTATCCACAGGGTCTAGAAAGCTTGGTAAGCTGGGAAACTACATCATCTCTGACTTTCACAAGTTACTTTTTTTAAATGTATTTTTTGCGCATGAATGCTGCATGCACAATTATATTTTATCCGTGATTAGCTCAGTATCACCTTTAAAAATATGTAGGAACGCCAAAGGGAATACTGAACACAAAAATATATTTTTCTGCACTATTATCCTAGGCAGATTTTGCGGTTTTACACTTACAGTATCTCCAATTAGTACATCACTGACGGGAGTTGTGCAGGGAATCTGCACATTTGCAGGCTGTGAAACTGACAAAACCATTGCCAGTCGCTGCACACTGTCATTTTTATTTTACAACTGACTACAGACCTAAAAATTGGCTTGTGTAATGAATGTTTGGTAGCTATTACGCACTAATCGGTAACTAGTAGCACAGCAGGTTAAGTGGAAAGGGGGGTTAAGTTAAAAAGTAATAGGAGTAAATGAAATCAAAGGGAAAGTATTCATGTTTATTGCTAATCTTTGTGCAAGAATTTAACTTTTGTACAATATCTGGATTTAATGTTACCTCTGACGATGTATGTTGCTTCTCATGTCCTCCTGTGATCCTAAAGAGATTTTTTTTTGGGGGTGAGACATCTATTGTCTGCCACATACAATGCTGCTTTACCACCTCTCTCTGGGCAGGTTAATAACACCTAGCTCCAATTATGCAAATGGAATCCATGTTTCGACTATGTCGTGGACTTCAATGCAGCACCATGGCCCAAAACACAGACTGGACCTTCCGGCACAGAATCGGGCTGGAACACTGGGGCTGCTGCAAACTAGCCCTAAAGGATCTGAAGGGGGTCAGCTGCCAAGGAGCTCTTGCGGAACAGTGATTTGTAATCTGCAGCGCATGCTGGAATGCATGGGGGATTTTTAGAGCTATTCGGACTCAACTGTATTATACATTGCGGTCAGTTGAATGCAGAGGAACGTGCTTACTGGAAGACAGAGCACAGACAACCTCATTAGTGACCCTCTGTACTTTCATTGTGCAATTGCTGAGTAGTGAGATGACACAGCTGTGTTGCTGATCTGTAGAAAACATGATGTCCGGCTATGAAATGTACCTGAGGTTTATTCATTGCAAAATTGGCTGAACAAAATCATAAATAATGTTGTAGTTCAGACATACCTTAATGCTCCATACTCACACATACCTCTTCTACTGAAACTAGCTATTCAGACAACCTATGTTTTAGGTAAGCTGCTCAGTCCATATAAGACCAGGCTTTCTGATGACATGGTATTTTACAGGTGCCAACATTGAGAAGTCTGTTAAGGACTTGCAGCGATGTTCAGTGTCCTTGGCACGTTATCGCATAGTGGTGAAGGAAGAAATGGACATCTCCATCAAGAAAATGAAGCAGACATTTCAGGAACTGCAAAGCTGGTAAGCCTTAATATCTAGTGCCATTATCTTCCTTGTATTACAAGATTGTGGAAACAATCGACTTCAGAATTATCTATTTATATACTTTTTTATTCTTTCTTCTCGAAGGCCAGATAAAATGCCTCGGCTTTTCATTTTTAATAAAGCACTAGCATTAAACACTGCTTTACAGAGTACCTAGGATGATTTACATTCTATGTTTTGTGTTTCCCATAGAAAAAGTGTGAAGGATGAGTGCACCACCAGAATATGTTTAGTCCATTAAAAATGTATTAATCTTGATAAGTCATTAGGTAATGGCCAACGCATTTCAGGCGCTCACAACGTCCCCTTCATCAGGGTTAGGAAAAAAATAAAATAACGTAGAACAATATCAGTAGATAGATCGTAGAAGAGCCAGCTCACTAATGCACTATTGGATCAGGGCTCTTGGGTTTAGAGTGGCAGGGCAAGCCTTTATCAGAAGTTAGACATTTAAGGCACCCTGCCTGCCCTTCACACTGTCCAGCACTGCTGTGAGAACTTTTCCAACCCTGTGCTGTCACAGGGTCTGAAGAATGAAATCTAACGGGATAAAGAGGAGCATCTGTGTATATTTCTGTGTATATTTTAATTGTGACCCTATGCTTTTAACAAACAGCATCATACGTGGTCCAGTCACTGTAGAAGAACCAACTTGCTCCTGGAATAGTACAGGTAGCCTGTGCTATATCCTGGCATCTCAGCTCGCTCATAATACATTCTGAAAGACTGGAGGGACCCAGAAATAGATAGGAGGTTATCAGTATTTTCTTTTATGTTACATAAACTGTGCAGATTTTGTAGTAGTTGATGCTTATGCTCCTAAAAGATAACCCACCTACATGTAATAACATGTTCACAGTTTATTATGTACTATAAAGCTCCTGTAAAGTCACTTGTGTAAGTCGAAGCTGCCTGTCCTGCTGTCAGCAATACTTATCCCTTGGTTTCATTTCTTGCTGTGTACATGTTGACTATCAGGAAACATGGCCTTGAGCAGTTTCATTTCTTCAGCACCTTTTGTAGCACAAACTGGCCACGCCAGTCCTGCATTGTGCAAGGTAGAATGTTTATGACCCATGATAACCCTGCCTCCTCTCACTGACAAACATGCTCATCTGTACATAATCCTTTAACAGGTCTAGCTCTGTCCTGTCATTCAAAGCTGCTGTGCTAATACCTCTTTACCTTGAAAAAAAAAAAAATAACATTTCATTGTCAAAGTCGGAACCCTACATATGTTCCAGGTCAGTGCTTCAGAAAGTATTGAATCCGTATAATAGCCAGGCAGATATCGGAGGATATTTACAGCCAGATAAGCGCTCACTGTTTTTTTTATTTTTTTGCTGAAATGCAGCCTGGCTGGCTACATTTTAAAATATCTGATTTTTATTTTACTGTTCATGTAACTGGTATTTATTGCAGCAAGGGTTAAAATACTCTGTTTCAGAAGTCTGGATAGTCGGACCATGACTCTCTCAAACAAAGCAGTGGCTCCGCTCTCCCATGGCCCTACATGACAAATGGACGGCGCGCTAATCTTCAGTGCTTCCAGGGTTGTGATTGTTTCTTTGTTGGGGAAGGGGATGCGTATCGCACCATGGGAGAGCCACACCACTACTTTGTGTGAGAGAGCTGTAGTCTGACTCTAGATTGCTGCAGCACGGGGTAGGTTACCAGTTAAATGAAGATAAAAGGAGAGATGGTTCCTTACTGTATATGCAGCCTTGCTGCATTCCCATAATTGTGAGACTTCAATAGGGCTTTAATGTTGGTGTGTCTTTTATAATGAAATACTCCATCATGTGAAAATGCGCTCATCAGGCATGATTTCGTATAGTAACATTTTAGGGTGCTACCAAGTGATGGTTCGGTATACCAGGGGCTTTTAAAGGGCAACCAATGGTATGTTAATTGGGAGTCGTTCTATGTTAGGCTTGGTTCTTCAAATAAAATAAGTCAACTTTTCAAGGAATGTACAAGCCCCATGTTTGTTTTAGATGAGGTTAGATTCAACGGTGATTTTATATGTCAACTATTTTTAGTAATCTATTTGTTTTGTTGAAGTTCAGACTCCGGTCTGAACAGGGGCCATGGGAATGAATGGGATTCCTTGTCTGTGGCATTTTGTTACGCTTAGCTTTGAGCAAAAAAAAACGCCCAGGTGTGAATGGGGACTAAGGGGCAGATACCAGCAGCCACCGTTATGTAGCTAATAGAATAGTAAGCGAAGCAAATAATTGCAAGGAAGGAAGCATCCAGCAGGCTCTACCTTTTAATCATTTCAATTCCATTTCTGATTGGAGCATACTTTTTTTTAATATTAAATTGAAGTGGCAAACGGATGTGAATAAGCGGCTCATATTAAATGGTGACTCTCAAACCGTGCCTGTGTCCATTATCTCTATTGTCATCAGGTTGAATTAAAGCACAGTTCACATATGATCAAATTCTTCTCCTAGCGGGACGCCATAAACAGCCCCCCAAACAAGGGGTGGAATATTTTTAACACTATAATTGGCTGTTACTGTAAATGCTTATGTTCTATACAGTTTCTTCAAAGCAGAGAGATTAAGTAAATGTCATTGTTTCCTTATTTGTTTCTCTCACACATGGAATATAGACGTCAGAAGCTGTGTTTGTGCTGCCAGATGCTTCAGCACCTAACCTGTTTCTATCCCGGAGTTGCGTGCATAGCATAGAGTGTGAACCAGGAAGCTTGGTTCCGTATAGTGGAGAAAATGAAACTCCGTTCAGCTGCTTTGGCTTTCGGCCAGCTGGAAACTCCTTCAATAAATATATAGGGAAGAACTTTTACCCCGGCTTCAGGCCGGATTTTATCAGTCAGGGTGGTGTCTTGCCCTTGTCTGCACAACGGAAAGTGTTTGTTTAAATAAAGGTTTTTTTCTTTCTTTTTTTTAATGAAACCAGCAAAGTGAATGCTGTAATAGAGCCATGCCAATATTTGAGCATACCACTACTGTATAAAAGTTCATAGCTGAGCCTATAATAAATTATACCAGCTATTTAAAGGACCCCTATCGTTAGAGAATTATGTAGGCTGCCATAGCTGACGACCTTCTAAAAAGGCTATTTGCCCTGACTATTATGCTGGTCCTTTGATTAAATAGGTGACTTATAGAGGCCAAAGTGTTTATGTTCAAAGGTCAGCATGACAGTAAGCTAACGTTTTCAAAACAAGGTCATATATTTCCTTGCTTCCAGAGCTTGAATTTTCACTCCCTTTGGTTACTGTGCTCCAACTGTTTAGATTCCCCATGTATAATTTTGTTTGTTTCCTGAACAAAATAATGTACATACTCTTCACTCCAAAGACATCCTGGAAGGTTAATTGGCTCCTGTCTAAATTGTCCCTTGTATGTATGCATGTGAGATAGGGACCTTCGATTATAAGCTCCTTGAGGGCAGGGACTGACGTGACTGTGCAAAGTGTAAAGCGCTGCATAAAATAAATACCTATAATAATTCAGTCAGCAAATTTGAGGTTACTAATGAAATGCAGTTTCAGCTCACTATAGGTTTAGCAATGTTGTGATCTGCTGCCACCTACAGGCTCTTGTTTATTATTTTCCTATTAATGGTTCCTCCTTTTGCTTTCTTCTCTAGCTTGATGGACAGAGAAGTGGCACTTCTAGCAGAAATGGACAAAGTAAAAGCTGAAGCAAGTAAGTACTGTATTAATCTCACTTTTGATGGCATTAAAAACGGCCGACCGGGAGCTCTCTAGATCTGGATCGCTTGTATGGGGGAAAGGATCGGTGTGTGCCCCCCCTCTGCGGTCCCGCTGGTCCCGGGCTCCGTAGTGCCCGGTGCGAGCCCGGGATCAGCATTCCTAACACAATGTTAAAAAAACACGTTTTTTTTCAGTACTTTTTCTTAATTATAGTAAAAACTAAAACAGTGGTGATTAACCAAAATAAAGCTCTATCTGTCCCCAAAAAATGGTATAAAATTCATTTCAGTACAGCCTTGCATGACGGAATAAATGTCAGTCAAAGTACCGCAGCGCTGAATACTGAAAAATGGCCTGGCCAGGAAGGGTGTCTAAACACCTGGTCTTCAAGCAGTTAAAAAGAGATAAATGTACTGATTTGAAACTTCTGTTTCCAACTATAGCCTCTAACACATACCTAGTATTGTACATAATATGGTTATCATGCCAGGTATATTGTGGGCTTCTTTTTAAGGATAAATATTTGTGTTCATTTTATTCATAGTTAAAGCTTGAGATACATCTTGAGGATCCTATATTTCATCAGTTAGAACATTGTTTCATATGCTGTTCCTAGATGTGGGAAAGATCTCTGCATTCGCTGGTGGTAGGAAGCGAGAGTTTCAAAGCCTTAACATGTGATTCAAGTAAAATGTTGAGACCTGGTCTTTGGGCCTCATGCGTACTGATGCACTTACATGATTTAATATTTTTAGCATGTATAAATACGCATCTACATATGGGGCTTACATCTGTTTTTTGTATGTATTTGGTTGAAGAAACTTGTCACTATGCTATGAAGGTACATAAAAACATATGTTGCTTTCAATCCCATGACGTGTCAAGTTAATGATTTTTTTAAATTGTGCTGCGACTGCACAGATGCCCGAGCAGGCAGCACTGTAAGCAGTGTATTTTGTGTGCTCATTTTTGCCTAGGGTTGCCTATAGTGCATTAGAGAGCAAAGATAGGGCCTTGTGGCTTTAAGTCAGATTTTTTTCTATACCTGGTTCCTCCTTTCCCCATTTAATCACATACATTAATTTTAGACCCAGTGATATCATCACTAGATCTCTGTGTTTCTCTACACAGCAGGCAGATTGAGGCTAGTGGTAGCAGCCGGCAGGGTGCAGTACCTAGCTTCCTAAATTTCCTCCCCAGCAAAGACCTTCATCTCCTCCGCAGGATAGAGAGGACATTCTGGTGATATTTCTAGCTCCAGACAAGCCCATGTAGTATTCTGACCTGAAAAATCTTTTGGTAGATGCTCTGTTGGCTCTCCCAGATAAACCACCCTGCTTCACAGTTGCTGGATTTAAAGGAGAACTATGGGGTCAGGGCTTTTCCCCATAGTTCTCCTTAGGGTAACGGGAGGACACAAACTAGCGTCCTCCCGTCACCCTAAGCTCAGTATACCGCGAGCTACAGCTCGTGGTATACTGAGATGCCGGAGCGGATCCCGACATCGATGTCGAGATCCGCCCAGCTGCGTGAGTGACATCTGGCTCTGCCTATCTAGAGGCAGAGCCAGCTGTACCCGCCCCCTCCCCCATCCGTTCCACCAGTCAGCGCTCGTGGATCGGAGCGTGGAGGGGGGAATCCAGCCCCTCCCCTGTCCCCTGTATGTGTTCGCTCACTTCCCGATCTACTGAGCTGACCTGTGACAGTCTCATTGTCACAGGTTGGCTAGAACTATGAGGTGAGTGAAAGACACTCACCTCATAGTTCTCCTTTAAGGGCATGGCTGGTAAATGCCAGGCCACTCGGACTCTGTGATCCCTATGATGATGAAGGCCAGGATGTCTACTTCTCGCAAGCTCTGCCATTGCACATGGAAGGCATACTTCACTTGATGCAAAGAGAGAAACTTTTATCCCAAAAAATACATCATGGGACAAATCCTGACCTTTTTACAGTCTGGCCTAAATCAACAATTGGCGCAAAGTCTTATTAAGGGTCAGATGTCAGCACTTGTGATATTGTTCCAAAGATCATTAGCCACTAATTTCTTGATCAAGACCTTCATACAGGGCATTTTTTATGCAGCTTCCCCTGGGTGCCAGCTGTTTCTCTATGTGATTAGAATTTGGTTCTTTCTGCACTTCAGAAACTGCCCTTTGAACTTATCGGGGATATTCCCTTTCCACGCTCACTCACAACGTTGTTTTTCTTGTTGCCATCACCTCCTCCAGTGTTGTAAACTGGGTGGCCTTGACCTGTAATTAACCCTTTCTGGTCTTGGACAAAGTAGTAAGAAGGCCTAAAACCACCTTTCTTCCCCAGGTGGTCCCAGCCTTTCATCTTAACCAGCACATTGTGCTCCTGTTCCTCTGTCAGTAACCCGTTGTCTGAATGTAGTTCAAGCTGTATGCGTCTACCTTAACTGGAATTGTTCTTTAAAGAATGGCAGCAAAGCAGTTGCCTTAAATCTGCAGATGCCAGTTCTTTTAAATCAAGATGGATTCTGTATCTATGTCCATGTTAAAGTCCTCTGACATGTATTCTGTGTGCATCTTTTCACAGTGGCGATTCTGGACAGCCGACAGAAGAAGGCAGAGGAGCTGAAGAAGCTCACAGATGTGGCCGTGCGCATGTCTGAAGAGCAGCTGTCAGAGCTCCGTGCAGATATTAAGGTTCGCCTTCTTGATCACACTTCTAGGCAAAATGTCCAAAATGTTTGATTTTCTTTGCTCATTAGGAAGTCATAGTAAAACTGTAGTTGTAAATAGCTGCAAAGTAGAATAACCGGGGCTTGAAAATCCACTCTGGAGCTGGACGAGTAGCTTGATTACGAGTAGTTGTTTAATTACAAAGGCCCGCCGGGAGCTTCTTGGATGGCAGTTGATCGGGCGTCGCTTGTATTCGCTGTCTTACCCCCCTCAACAGCCGCCGCCGATGTCACTGCCATTGCCGGTCCCGAGAGCCAGGACCGGCACGGCTGCTCTGTCACAGGAGATCAAAGGGATATCGGTGCACCATCTCCCTCTGATCTCCTCTCCGGGCCCTGAATGCAGGAAGTGATGTATATTACATCACATTCGCATTCAGATGTCATCCCCAGCTACAGAAGCTGGTGAAGCAGATCTCTGCTTCATGAGCTTCTCTGGGGGTCCCTAGGTGACATTAGGGGTCTTTGAGACCCCTGATCTCTCCATAAAAAGGACCTGTCATGTAAATTGGCTATCACATAGGGAGCTTCTTAGCCTTAGCTTCTTAAGTGTGAATTTTAAGCTTGTTTTTCTTGATGACACTGACATCACATAACTTTATTCATCTTGGCAATTGTCTTCTAGCATTTTGTCAGTGAGCGAAAGTACGATGAGGAACTGGGTCGTGCTGCACGCTTCACAGCTGACTTGGAAGTCCCGAAGAAGAGTATAGACTCTTTCGGACAAGGTTTGTGTCTCCTTAATATGCGTACTTTGCCTAAAACCTTTTAACACATCAATAGTGAAGCCACCCATTCGTTGCCTGTTTATTATCCTCACTTGCGTGAATGTTGACAGCTCTGTTGGTGTGAGAGATCCTGTAATTTCCATCCTGCAGTGAGATAAACATATATTTTAATTGTATTTTATGATCTGGCCTCATTGGAGTCTGAGGTCATTTTATGAAAATGTAAGACGTAGGCTCCTTTTTGGTTCTTGTACTGTAAGTGTGGGGTGTTTTCTTAAAATGCATTGTTTTATTTAATGCTGCTCTACACTGTGCTGATAGTTTTATGATTTATTGTCTCTATCATTGAAGCTATAAAATCCTGCATTCTGCTACTATAAAAGTGATAAATGTCCCCAGAAAGTGTGTGTGTGTGCCAACTCAAAAGGGCCCAATAAACCCCCCTTTAGCAATACATATCCCCATTCATTGGTGTTCAGTATTAACTTAAACTGAACACACACTCCTGCAATGCTTTTTCTCTTTCATCTGTGTACAGCTACACTGTGTCTGTTGGTCAGGACCCCACCCTACAGGTAGTGACAGCATCATTCAAGTACCAGGTACTGGTATGCACTTAGCGTTCCAGCACTTGGCATTAAACTTCCACTCTGCATAGGCTGTAGCTGGAACCTAGTGGCCTGGAAAAGAAGGCCTCGGGCCTGTTGGACAGCCTGGTATAGGACCTATTGGTCACTGATACTACAAGAGTACATTTCCACAATATCACCATTTTAATGGCATGCTTCCCCTCAGTCTAAGCCCACCAATGTGCAGGTGGGCAGATCAATTCTGATCTGAAAATAACACTAAGCATCAGGTGCATGGAGGCAGACAAAGAGGCATAACATTTTGCACATATGTTATTTTTGGACATCTGGTGTTCAATTTTCTTATAGTTCTTTGCTACAATTAATTCAAGACCCTTATTGTTATTTATAACACCAATTGAAGATTAATTTAACCGTTTTAGGCTGTGTTAAATGAACACTTTTATAATCACTTTTACCTATTTATTCACTTAACTAATTATGACTTACCTTTAGCGCTTAGTCACAATGTTTTTGTTAATTCTATGGAGATTCTTCTCCTTTCACTTCTTAGCTGCTTTAGGTTTATTTATTTATTTTAGTTAGATCCAGGAGCGCAGTTTATTTTTCACACATCAGGTGCATGGACTTGATGGGAATAAAGCATGCAATCATTTTTTAATATAGGTATTTGACATCTAAACATAGGGTTTTTCCCATTATACAGCTTCCTGTTGACAAAAAAGCAACTTGCTGCAGATTACTAGAATGTTTACCGTCCAATAAACGTAATCAAAGAGGTGATGCAATTGTAACATCTGTGAATATTTTAGCTAGTGTGATTTCTGGACTATTGTTTAACAGAAGGTCCAAGACTTGGTTGTTTGCATTGGTTTTAAAGAGACCATATTGAAATGTAGAGGAGTCACTATGCTCCTACATAGTTCTGGTATGTGAAGTCTTGGGAACAATTAAGTAAATCTTTAAAAGAGCTTGTTTAGATGAGTGATCTTCTCACAGCCATTAACATTCAATTTGAATTACATGTCCTGGTGGAGGAAATGCTCACCATACATTCATGTATGGAGAGCTCTTGAAAATTTGAATTCTTTAAAAGAGAACTATGGGGTAAGTGTTTTTCCCACATAGTGCTCTTTAGGATCACGGGAGGACATAGGCTAACCACATCCCGTGCCCCAAAGCCCAGTATATAGCAGGCTATTGCCCGCAATACACTGAGAGCGCCGCAGCCGGGACGGATCCCGACAATACTGTCGTGATCGACTCAGCTGCGTGAGTGACAGCGGGCTCTACCTATCTAGAGGCAGAGCCAGCTGTGCCCACCCCCTACCCTGTTGGTTCGTCCACTCAGTGCTGTAGGATCTGAAAGTGGAGGGGGGAATCCCTGCGGGGAGCAGTGGTTGACCGTCACTGCAGGGAGACCATTGGGAAGTGAGCGGATCGGCTGCATGTTTCTGCTCACTTTGCAATGAATAGAGCCGACCGGTGACAGCTTTTTTTCCCAGGTCGGCTCTAACTATGAGGATGAGTGTAAATCCCTCACCTCATAGTTCTCTTTAATATATACTGTATAATGTAAGTAATAGTTACACATGCAAGATCAGGTCAGAGTCAGACGGCAATAAAAACGAACACTTTGCTTATATATATATATATATATATCGTTTTTTGTGTGTTTTAGGCTGTGTTAAATGAACACTTTTATAATCACTTTTACCTATTTATTCACTTAACTAATTATGACTTACCTTTAGCGCTTAGTCACAATGTTTTTGTTAATTCTATGGAGATTCTTCTCCTTTCACTTCTTAGCTGCTTTAGGTTTATTTATTTATTTTAGTTAGATCCAGGAGCGCAGTTTATTTTTCACACATCAGGTGCATGGACTTGATGGGAATAAAGCATGCAATCATTTTTTAATATAGGTATTTGACATCTAAACATAGGGTTTTTCCCATTATACAGCTTCCTGTTGACAAAAAAGCAACTTGCTGCAGATTACTAGAATGTTTACCGTCCAATAAACGTAATCAAAGAGGTGATGCAATTGTAACATCTGTGAATATTTTAGCTAGTGTGATTTCTGGACTATTGTTTAACAGAAGGTCCAAGACTTGGTTGTTTGCATTGGTTTTAAAGAGACCATATTGAAATGTAGAGGAGTCACTATGCTCCTACATAGTTCTGGTATGTGAAGTCTTGGGAACAATTAAGTAAATCTTTAAAAGAGCTTGTTTAGATGAGTGATCTTCTCACAGCCATTAACATTCAATTTGAATTACATGTCCTGGTGGAGGAAATGCTCACCATACATTCATGTATGGAGAGCTCTTGAAAATTTGAATTCTTTAAAAGAGAACTATGGGGTAAGTGTTTTTCCCACATAGTGCTCTTTAGGATCACGGGAGGACATAGGCTAACCACATCCCGTGCCCCAAAGCCCAGTATATAGCAGGCTATTGCCCGCAATACACTGAGAGCGCCGCAGCCGGGACGGATCCCGACAATACTGTCGTGATCGACTCAGCTGCGTGAGTGACAGCGGGCTCTACCTATCTAGAGGCAGAGCCAGCTGTGCCCACCCCCTACCCTGTTGGTTCGTCCACTCAGTGCTGTAGGATCTGAAAGTGGAGGGGGGAATCCCTGCGGGGAGCAGTGGTTGACCGTCACTGCAGGGAGACCATTGGGAAGTGAGCGGATCGGCTGCATGTTTCTGCTCACTTTGCAATGAATAGAGCCGACCGGTGACAGCTTTTTTTCCCAGGTCGGCTCTAACTATGAGGATGAGTGTAAATCCCTCACCTCATAGTTCTCTTTAATATATACTGTATAATGTAAGTAATAGTTACACATGCAAGATCAGGTCAGAGTCAGACGGCAATAAAAACGAACACTTTGCTTATATATATATATATATATCGTTTTTTGTGACCATGTTTGGGTAACTAGCAGCCTGAGATTAAATTGTTTAGGGAACAATTTCAAGCATACTAAAACTTTTCTCTGGTTTTTCAGTTTCCCATCCAAAAAACAATTATTCTGCCCGCTCCCGCTGTTGTTCTGTGACAAGTCATAGTGACACACCTCCGTCCACGACTGAACTCTCCTCTACTCCAAGCCTTACTTCATCTAGTCGAAAGGCGACAGCCTCAGGAGACTTACCTGTGGCAACTGGGCCCTATGGCTCCAGACAGAATCAACCTCCGAGACAGGTGAATATTTTTTTATTTCCCTTTGGAAAAAATGTGATTTAAAATACCCTTAAATGATATTGTCTGTTTTATCATTGTGCTGTTGAAATGTTTACTTACATCCCATCTTTTTTTTTTTTAAGGGACCTCCAGCTAATAAAAGACCGGGGCAAGGTTATCGACCTCAGGGCCAACGACAAAACTACAATGCTAATAACATAAGATATGATAACAGCAACCGGAACCGGAACAACTGGTATCAATCCAACCCCAGAAACCAGAGCTACTATCCTCAGGCACAACGCCAGCCCAGTGACCGGACATCCACCTATTCTTCTGGCACCAATGGACCTGCTGCCACCTCAGAGTCCGTCCAAACAGGGGTTTTAGACCCAGAAAACAAGGCCCTACCACAACGTAAACCGAGGGCGAACCCATCATCAGCTTCCTGAGTTGGGAAGAATTTCATGCCTTTAGTCCGCACTTTCAATGTTCAACGCCATAACTTGACTTTAGAAAACTGTTAGGTTTATTAACAAAGAGAAACGTTTACAGCCAGCTGTTCCGTGCCACTTTTTACTCTTCTTTTTTTTTTTTTTCTCTCCTCCAAAGCCTGTCATTTTCACCCTCTTTCTTTTCAATATGTTAATGGACGTTTTTTTGCATTGCTTCTTATTCAACAATGGGCTCCTCCATGAGTTCCTACATTGTGTTTGAATCCCTGTGTTTCTCATTCTATCGGATATTATACGTCTGTGAGAAAGGACAGTTGCTGGCTGAGACAGAACATGTCATTCTAGTGACATGCCGGATCTTGCCACTGCAGTAATGACTCTCTTGCAAAAATCAAGCTCATGGGCTCCCAGCAACTGCAGCTTCTTGAGTTGTTCAGTCCGTGTTTGGTTACACAGAGGAAGTTATCTAGTGTCATGAGAGCAGCGGCTCTGTGGCGGATCTTGGAGCTATTTGACGTTGTTTGGTTTCTACTTTACTGTGTATTTCTCGTCAGTCCCTTTATCTTCTGCCTTGTATGCAGGTACTTTAGGTTACTCCCCAGGATACCCATTCCTCTGTCTGTCTTTAAAGTGCCTTGTTTTTGTAATGGGGTCAGCAGATTCTTCTCATTCCCACCCTTTCATACATTCCCTAATACTGATTTTTATGATTTTTGGTCTGCGCTAGGAAGTCAATCATTTATAGAGACACAGAAGCTATGTTAGTTCCCTCATTTTTTGAATGAATGAAAGCAGGTTGACAGCAGTGCGTGTGGACATGGTCAGACATTCTACCATTTTCCCTGATATAAGGCCTGTGCATCTGTTATTTTAGAAATCATTTTCTTCAGTACCTGGGGCCAACTTTTAGTCAACTCTGCCCAAAACTTTAGACTTTATTGCTCAGGATCAGAAGCATTGCAAAATCCATTTGAAGCCAAACTAGTCTCATTTCTTCCTTCGTTCATCCTTGGTCCTTTCACACAACTCTTGTAAGGAATTGCACTGTCAATGGATGTGGCAGAGTAATAGGCTGCAAGCTGTTTGTTCACCTATAAATCTGTGAATGAATCATGGCAGTGCCCCTCCTTATCGTTTCTCTTGTCCAAAGATGCACCTTCTATCAATATTCATGTCTTGTTTTTCTTTTGTTCATTGCGAAGTTAGGCTTGGTCTAGTTTTAGTTATATGATGGATCACCTCTCTTCTAAGGGCTAAAGTGTTGATACTTTCAAAAGTACCACACTTAACTATTATGTGATATTAATTGCATTACATGTATCCAGTGCAGGTGTTATGCAACACAACTAAGGAATATGCCTGTATTGGACCTTATAAATTGTTTCTGATCATGGAGTTCAGCACTTGCATCAATTTTCCATTGGTGCAGCCGAATACAACATTCCTTAGACCAGGGCTGGGCAAATCCCAGGAGCCAGGTAGCCAAATGTTCCTTAAAAATTACAGCTGCTGCCCAACTTTTGAGGTTCTGTAATTGCTATCAATGAAGCTAACTCCTGAATTGGACAGACTGGCTCCTGAATTCCATGTTCATTTGTCCACCCCTGCCTTAGACAAGCAGGGAAAGGGTTGTTTTTTTGTCAATGCCCCCCCCC